TTACAGAAAATGTCATATATTTTTATTTTTTTTCAACCTTTTTTTAAAGAAATATGTTTTTATTGATTTTAGAGCGAGAGGAAGGGAGAGGGAGAGAGAGATGGAAACATCCACGGGAGAGAAACATCATCATCAATGGACTGCCTCCTGCACGCCCCCTGCTGGGGTCCGAGCCCACAACCCAGGCGTGTGCCCTGACCGGGAATTGAATTTCTCTCCCTCCCCCTTCCTCTCTGAAATCAATACAAATATCTTAAAAGGGAAAAGTGCAGAGTTTTGGAGGAGAAGCCCTGGCAAGAGCTGTTCTATGCGCGATTCACAACCTGCCCGGGAAGACTGCGCCCAGCTTCCTGTCGGGATTCATACTCATTCATGTATTCATTCTCTCTCTCTCTCTCTCTCTCTCTCTCTCTCTCTCTCTCGTTGCTGGTCCCTGAAAGTCGGGCTGCGGCGCAGCAGTCCTGTCTCAGGCCGGCTTCCAGGCGGGTCCCGGGGCAAGATAGATCCTTTGGCAAAGCAGACTCGCTGTTGCCCGAGTCAAGGAGAAGGCAGCCCCCTGTTCCCCGGGGTCGGGCCGACCAGCAACAGTGGTGACCAGTGACCAGAGCTCAAGGAGCCGGCGAGGCAGTGCCCGGGAGCTGAGCAGGCAGTAGGGGCAGATTTTAAGAGAGTATGAAAGCGCCCGGCGGCCATGGCTCAGTGATTGAGCATCGACCTGTGAACCAGGAAGTCCCCGTTCGATTCCCGGTCAGGGCACAGGCCTGGGCTGTGGGCTCCATCCCCAGTGTGGGGCGTGCAGGAGGCAGCCGCTCCATGATTCTCTCTCATCATGGATGTTTCTCTCTCTCCTTTCCCTTCCTCTCTGAAATCAATGACAATATTAGAAAAAGAAAAAGAGTATAAAAGTGACAAAGCTAGAGGCAAGGAATTTTAACACCAAAGTCTTCTTGGGAAGATGGCGTCGGCTGGCTGTGTCCCCGCCCGCCTCACCCCATCTCCTTGTCCGTCTCTGGGTGCTTATCAGCTGTGGCAATAGCACAGCCAGGTGGTTCTTGGTCCCCGATAGCCCGGCTGTCCCTGCCCCGCCCGCTGAGTCACTCACGTCTCCTTGTGGGATTAAGACCCTGCCTGCTGTTGACTCATCTTGTCAGACGATGCTGGCTGCAGGCGAACCTGGACCGCGCAGGCAGGGCGAGCGGGGAGAGGCCGGGCTGTTCCTTTAAAGATTGCCTGTTTGCCGTTGGCATCCGATCCACAGTTCACGGCCACGATTAAGATGAGTAATTTGTATTCACATCGTCCGTGCTGTTTAAAAAGCCGCTGGATGTAATGTGCTTGTTAAAGGGAGTCAGCACGTACGAGAAAGCCCAGTGCTCGCTTGGCGCTAAGGAAAACATCCCTGGGTTTGCTCAGGGATAACTTCATTCTTCCCAGAGACCATAAAGCTTTCACCACTCATGCCCGAGCCCCGGGGTGTGCGGTCCTCGCTGGCTGCGGTTCATCTCTCTGGGCCGGGAGGTGAGACTCACTCATTCAGCCGCCGACCAGCGGCTGCCCGGCCCGGTGCATACAGTCCAAGAAGGGCTCAGAGCCGGCTTCACGCCGCGGGGCCCGCCGGCCCAGACGAGACATCTGGGCTCCCGGGCTCCCGTTCGCCAGCCCGGCCTGCAGCAGCCGCTCCGGGCCTCGCCCTGACTCAGCACGCGCGTGTGCCGGGAGGGTGGGGTGCAGGGAGCAGGTGGGCTGATGTCCAATCTGTTGACGGGGCATCTGTTTATTTGGTTATAATTTATTTTTAAAGCAGATTCCCTCTGCTCTTCTTTTTAAAATGATATCTTTATTGATCTTAAAGAGAGAGGATGGAAGAGGGAGAGAGACAGAGAGAAACATCCGTCAGTTGCCGTCTGCACACACCCCGACCGGGGGATTGAACTCCCAGCCCGGCATGTGCCCTGACCGGGCATTGAACCGGTGACCTTTGGTGCGTGGGGTCGAAGCTCAGCCACCAACTTAGCCACACTGGCCAGGGCTGCAGCAGTTTCTTCTAAAAACCAGCTTTATCGAAGGGTATTTTGCACGTCGTAAAATTTACCCGCTTCAAGAGTGCCAGTCAGTGATGTCTCCTGGCTTTCCCCGGTGGGGTGGCCGTCATCCTAGATTAGTTTGGGGACCGCTCCTGCCCCCCAGGAAGGTCCCTCGTGTCCTCTACTGTTAACCCTATTT